GCTTGCTCGCTCCAGCTTCTTCAGCAGGCCACCGGTATCAACCCGATCTTCACGTACGGCGGTCAGATCTTCAAGGACGTCGTTGGTGACGGTGTCGTGTCACTCCTCATCTTCCAAATTGTCAACTTCCTCTCGACGATTCCTGCCATGGTCTGGGTCGACAAGATCGGTCGCCGCCGCTTGCTTCTCCTTGGCGCCGCCGGGATGGTGATTGGTCACTTGGTCTCTGCCATTGCGTTCACGGCGGGCTGCAAGGGTGACACGAGCAAGTCGGACTGCTCGACGGGTGCGGGCTGGACTATGATTGTGTTTACGGCCTTCTTCATCTTCAACTTTGCGATTTCGTGGGGTCCGATCTGCTGGGTCTACCCGGCCGAGATCTTCCCGATGAACGTGCGCGCCAAGGCCGTCTCGGCGTCGTCGATGGCCAACTGGTGCATGGGTGCGCTCATGATCGGCATTCCCAAGCTCTTCCCGTACCTCAACATCAACGGCGTCTTCTTCCTCTTCACGGCGCTTTGTGCGCTGGCTTATACCTACGTGTACTTCAATTGCCCGGAGACGAAGGGCCTCCTCCTCGAGGACATTGAGCTTCTCTTCTCCAAGGACGCGCCGAAGCCGTCGGCCAAGGCGCCCATTGAGACGCCCAAGTTTGACGAAGCCTAAGCGCCAACCTCGCTCCCCTGTGCCTAGTTTAGTGACGGATCCATCTCTCTTCTTCATAAGATAATGTATCCTTGTGTTGCTTCCAAGCCTTTGGACAATCAAGTACTTGACAGCGCGGCCGTTGGTCGTCGTCGCCACGCCGTTCGACGAGCTCTCTTGCACTCGCGTCTTCTTGACCGAGCTCGACGGCTTGCTGTCGCTGTGTTCAAGCATGGACGCAGCGAGTTGAAAGGCTACGACTAGAAGCCAGCATGAATGCACTTGCGACAGCTCAAACCAAGGTGACTGCAATCAAACGCGTCGCTTTGCGGCTTGAGCAACGCTAGGAATACCTGCAGTGGTATGTGCAGCTTCAGGCCAAGCCTACTGTACGCCTCGTACCCAGAATGGTCGAGCCAGACGTCGTGGTGTAGAACGTGTGAGAGATTCTCGCTCGGGCCTTCCGTTGTTGAAGGTACACCTTGGTCTGCGAGAGGCGGCTGCGTTGGGCGCTAGTTTTCCTAGTGCTGCTCAAGCCGCAAAGCGATTCGTTCAATTGCAGTCATCTTGGTTTGACCGTCTGTAGGCACATGTGACCTAGCGAGCACCGACACGGCAACGACATCCGCAGCTTTGGCGTCAGCGGCGACACGGCTGCGCAGTGGCAGCGGGTGCTCGACGACGACCGGTTACGTCGGCTTCTCGACCAACGCCAACAAGAGCTCGGTGGCGAACCCGAGTCCTGCGAATGGTTTTCAGCTTTTGCGCTCGTCATGTCCTGTCGCTGTGCTTCAGCCCAAGAAGCCAACAAAGTGAATCATACGAGCGCTCGAATCGGAGACTTTCAACAATGCGAA